CAACGTTTCTGGGAAGGCTGTCCACAAGGTTTAGGAGTGTGTTTAAGGGAATGTTTGACCATTCTTCCAGAAGCGCATTTGTGAGGTCAGGCACTGATGTCAGACGAGAAGGCCTGGCTCGCAGTCTCCACTCTAATTCATCCCAAAGGTGTTCTATCGGGTTGAGGTCAGGACTCAGGTCAGGACTGGTGCAGGCCAGTCAAGTTACTCCACCCCAAACTTGCTCATCCAGGTCTTTATGGACCTTGCTTTGTGCGCTGCTGCAGTCATGTTAGAACAGAAGGAGGCCATCCGCAAACTGTTCCCACAAAGTTGGGAGCACTAATTTTTCCAAAATGACTTGGTATGCTGACGCCATAAGATTTTTCTTCACTGGAACTAAGGAGCCAAGGCCAGCCCCCGAAAAAAAAACCCCCACACCATATACAGTACCCCCCTCCACCAAACTTTACACATGGCACAATGCAGTCAGGCAAGAACCGTTCTCCTGGAAATGGCCAAACCCAGACACGTCGATTGGATTGCCAGACAGAGAAGCATGATTCGTCACTCCAGAGAACACATCTCCAGTGCTCGAGTCCAGTCGCGGCATGCTTTACACCACTGCATCCAATGCTTTGCATTGCACTTGTTGATGTAAAGCTTGATTGCAGCTGCTCAGCCACGGAAACCAATTCCATGAAGATCTCTACTCACTGTTGTGCTAATCTGAAGGCCACACAAAGTTTGGGAGGTCTTTAGCCATTGACTCTGTAGACAGTGTGCAACTTCTGTACGCTTCAGCATGTGCTGACCCCGCTCTGTCATTTTACGTGACCTACCACTTCATGGCTGAGTTGCTGCTGTTCCCAGTTGCTTCCACTTTGTTATAATACCACTAACAGTTGACCATGGAATATTTAGTAGCAAGGAAATTTCACGGATGGATTTATTGCACAGATGGCAACCTATCACGGTACCACGCTAGAATTCACTGAGCTCCTGAGAGCAACCCATATTTTCACAAATGTTTGTAGAAGCAGTCTGCATGCCTAGGTGCTTGATTTGATACACACATACATATATATATATATATATATATATATATATATATACACACACACACACACTGTCCACTTCATTAGGTACACCTTGCTAGTGCTAAGAGAATATCCACCACACCATTACACCACCACCAGGCCTGAACTGTTAATACAAGGCAGGATGGATCCACACTTTCATGTTGTTTACACAAAATTCTGACGCTACCATCTGAATGTTGAAGTTGAAATCGAGACTTATCAGACCAGGCAACATTTTTCCAATCTTCTGTTGTCCAATTTCGGTGAGCCTGTGCGAATATCCTGTTTCCTGTTCTTAGCTGACAGGAATGACACCCGGTGTGGTCTTCTCTGCTGTAGCCCATCTTCTTCAAGATCTGACGTATTGTGCGTTCAGAGATGGTATTCTGCATAATTCGATTGTAATGAATGGTTATTTGACAAACTGTTGCCTTTCTATCATCTCAAACCAGTCTGCCCATTCGCCTCTAACCCATGACATCAACAAGGCATTTTTGTCCACACAACTGCCGCTCACTGGATGTTTTCTCTATTATGGACCATTCTCTGTAAACCCTAGAGATGGTTGTGAGTGAAAATCCCAGTAGATCAGCAGTTTTTGAAATTCTCAGACCAGTCCATCTGGCACCAGCAACCATGCCACGTTCAAAGTCAGTTAAATCCCCCTTCTTCCCCATTCTGATGCTTGGTTTGGACTTCAGCAAGTCGTCTTCACCACATCTAGATGCCTAAATGCGTTGCTGCCATGTGATTGGCTGATTAGCAATTTGTGTTAGACAGTTGAACAGGTGTACCTTATAAAGTTGCTGGTGAGAGTATATCCAGGTTTTAGAGCTGCATATGCTCAGGCAAGAATGGGGCTACATTCATCTCCCAAAACTCTAACAACTGGTCACTCTGAGATGCCCTTTTATACCTAATCATGTTACTGACCTGTTGCTAATTAACCTAACTGGTTGCAAAATGGTCTTCCAGCTTTTCCTTGTTACCACTTATTTGCCAGCTTTTTGTTGCCCTGTGCCAACTCCGAGACATTTTACTGCCATCAATTTCAAAATTACTTTGTTTTTCTTAAATGGTAAATTTTTTTTCAGTTTAAACATTTTACATTTTTTCTATTGTAAATAAAAATATCTTTTTATGAGATTTGAAAATCATTGCATTCTGTTTTATTAGTTTTTACATATCATCCCAACTTTTTTGGAATTGTGGCTTACACTGGTCTAGTGATACTGGGACCGGGTGTGGCGGTGATCAGGGACACTGGCACTGGTTTGGCAGTGATCAGAAACACGGTTGCTGGCTTATTCTGGTCTGGTGACAATGGGACTGGTGTGGCGTCAATCAGGAACACTGTTGCTGGCTGGACTGCTTTGGTGACACTGGGACTAGTGGGGATCAGGAACACTATTGTTGGCTGCACTAGTCTGGGTCACTGGCAGTGGTGTGGCAATGATTAGAAACACTGTTTCTGGCTTACACTATTCTAGTGACACAGAAATTTATGGGGTGGTGATTAGTGACACTGCTTGTGTGGGTAGTAATCATGGACACTAGCTGCCTGCACTGACAGTGTCACCTGATCAGCCAGCCAGTGCCCTTGATCACTATCACTCCTAGATTGTAGGCTCCAAGGAGCAGGGCCCTTCTATCCCTCTTGTATTGAACTGTATTGTTGCTGTATTGTCTCCCATTATATTGTAAAAGTGCTGAGCAAACTGATGGCGCTATATAAATCCTGTATAATAATAATAGCCACCCCAGTAGAGTGTCACCATAGTGACACTTTACTGGGGTGGGTAGTGGTCAGGGACACGGGCTGGTTACTATAGTGATGTGTTTGGTGGAAAAAAAAAAAAAAAAAAAAAGGATCAGAGTATCTTACTGTAAGAAACCCTCTGCTTGCTCTCGCAGGAAACAGGCCACTGGTTTCAGCATGCAGCCTTTGTTTACATATTTGATCACTATGATTGATCACAGCGATCACATGGTACAGGGCCAATTTCATCGACCCTGTACCCTGATCTGTGATCTGCTGTGTCCAAAGGCAATCACAAGGCATGCACAAGCAGTGAGTGAGGAAGTTTATGTACGCCCTCCTGCCCTCAGGAGTAAGCCATCTGACTGTTTATTTACAGTGGCTGGACAGCGAGTGGTTTAAACAAGCTGCTAGCAAGTTTCATCAGACCTTTATTAAGCATCACATCATGCTGATACTTACTAAAGTCTGCTAGCAGCTCAATTAAAGTGAGTCAACACTTCCATCAAGATCTGTTTTTAACATTCCCAAGCTGGAGCTGAATGGTACATTAAAGGCTTCAACTAGGTTGCCATAGTCACTGCTGTTATACAGGTGAAGTCTGTGCGAACGAGACCTTGCATACAGCACCTTTCAGAGCTCATGCCTAGGTTTTGAGACATGCAACTGTGCAATACATTACTAATGTAAAATACACTAAAATAGTTATTGCTGGCTCAGACTTTATCAGTAAGGTGCGCAGAATTTGGCTGACTTTGCTTTAAGTGCCGGTTCACATATATGCACAATGGATGCAGTTTGACATGTGAAATAACATTGCTTCCTATGGTGCCTGTTCACATGTCCGGTGCACTGGCAGTGCAGATTCAGTGCGGAGTGAAAAAGAGTCGTGTATGATTTCTGAGCAGTGCAGTCCAGTTCAGGTGTGGATTACAGGCTATTGACTTCTATGGGAACCGTTTCTAAACCACAAATGTGTGAACAGGATAAAATTCTGACCTGAACCACTGAACCTGTTAATTTGCTGTGAAACTTGAGCTTCAATTCGCACTGCAGGTGTGAATCAGCTCTAAATCGGTCATAGCCTTATTGACAAGAACTGTTTGATATAAAAAAAAAAAATAATAATAAATGCATAAAATTGCTATTTTATAAAGGATTCCTTTTTGCACTGGCCTTATAAACTTGTATTTGCTACTAAAATATTGTTTTTCTTTCATTTTAAGGTCATTGTATTTAGAAAATAGAAAGTGGTAAAAAAAATGTATATTTAGGGTTTATGTGGCCTTTGCAACATTTCAAATAACATTTGTTTTCACAATTACTTTGGGACGCATCAGCAAGCTGAGCAGACCAGGCAGTGCGTCATTTTTTCAGGCTATAAACTCATACTCTTCCACGGCGCGTGCTCAAGTCACCACCTGTGTCAGTGTACCTTGCTCATACAAATGCATTGCCCAGCGCTTGGGAACCAATTAACAAGTTAATACAAGTGGAGTTGTTTGTAAAATCCACACAAACCCCATACAAGTAGAGGTTGTGATCTCAATTACAGGGGAAAACAAGAGCCTCATATGTTCCTGACAGGCTTATGTAGACTTCTGAGGCTGCTCCTTTCTGCTATCCAGGACACTTAAGGATGTCATGCTGACACCCCCACTCATAGTGTAAGCACCCTGATTGTTACATTCAAAAGAACAGCTATAGAAAAATCAGTGTGTTTCATTGACTGGCCTCTGAAAAGAAGTTGCATCTTCTAATTAGTTTAGGAACAACAACAATAATATTGAGAGCCACTAAGTGTCTGTAGAGTATTTAAAGGCAACAGCCAGGATATTCTCCCAGACTGGTCTTACCATTCAGTATTAAACACTGGATGGGAACACATCGCAACTTGTAGAATGAAGGAAACTGGATGGGAGCCAGAAATGTCCACTGAAGAACAGATGTGGGATCCATCAAACAGCTGTCAGTATCAATCTGTACTGGACATCTGCACCCTTGATTTTGATATTGCTCCAGAATACTTTTCTTCATGGTCTTCTGATCCCCATTTGACACCAGACTTTCAGTTTTCTGTAAGTGATGTTGATACAAACGGTACTTTCCAGAACCAAAGCTGCCTGGATACTCAGGTAAAGGTGCACAGGCAAGCAGCTAACATCAGGGAGAGGAGGCGAATGTTGAGTATCAATTCTGCTTTTGAAGAATTACGAGGTAGAGTTCCAACTTTCCCCTATGAGAAGAGATTATCCAAGATTGATACCTTGCGGCTGGCTATTGCCTACATTGCATTGCTGAGTGACATCCTGGCTTCTGGGACAGATCCCAAGTCCTATCTGAATGAGTTTATGAAAAAAGGCACGCAAGGGTCAAATAGCAGCATCTGGAACACAAGTGGTGAGTTTCTTCAGAATTAGCCCGTAAAGGGCACCTCTTTAAAAATTTACCACATTATGATTCAAGGAAATTCCAATCAAATTGTGTGTTTCATTTGTTACAAAGGTTGGGATGAATCAGCTTGCTTAACAAAATTTCCTTTATGGTTGCTATGAAATTTTAAACTATCAAAATAACAGGCTTTATCAAGCATCTCTAATAGATTTCATTAAAGAAGGCACACATTAAAATGTCATGGAAACCCCAAACAGCCCACATAATACCTGGGGTGCAATATTTCACGTTTGTGCAAATTCACACATTTTGAGAAAATAAAACAAATACGTTAAATTCACCAAGATGTAGATGTAATTTTAATCCCATTGATCATATTGCATAATTTCTTGTAAAGATGTTCAGTTAACAGACTTAGTTCCTCAATAGATATCTCATTGGAATTTACAGTTATAACCAACCTGAATAAACTGTGCAATAATTCTCAAACCCGCAATGTGTATGTACTAAAAATGTATACTGTAATGCCTTTAGTGCACTCAAAAATCTCACTTCATAACTTTGACTAGAAAGTTAGCATTCAGCTAAGGGTGTCTAAGTATATGAAAATTCAGTCATACATCAGTACTATTGAACTGCATAAATGATCTGAATAAATTGTGGCTAAATTGTGAATGCAGGTAGCAATTACTGTATTTAACTAAAAGCAAGGCAAAGGGATTACTAATCTAAAGGACAGGTGCTGTCATCACTGACTTTGTTTTCTGTTAAAATATTTTGTCATTTTCTCCATAGCACCCAGTTTTCTGGATCACCAACTCTTTTCTCATTCATGCACAAAGCAATACAACAACCAGATTCCACTTTACAAAGGTTTAGTGTAGGATTAGATAGTATCATAATAGGCATAAGTATCAAATATGCATATTATAGTCAGTTTACTGCAGATACACAGTATAGCTGTCCATGTTAATTTATAGAATCAGCCATAGGCACAAGATTGTTAACCAGTCTTCATGTCTGTGGCTACCTTGACTTTCACATGGGTGGTGACAGTTATACCTTTTGCTAAATATATAATATATATTTAATTTTCTTTTTTTTCAAAAGGATCTTTATCCGGTTATGTTATCTTTGTGCACTGAGCCTCATTTATTAAAATTCACAATCTAAAATGTAGCAATCAGACTATTGAAAACTGGCAGAATATTAATATGGGGAAATGTTCATGACATTTAATAAAAATAGTGCAAACATACTATAATTTATTGTTCCATTAAAAAATAATCCAGCTTCTTCAAGCATCCCTGCCTTTTAATGACTGCCTTGCACGATGCACTAGAAATGAAGATATGTCTGTATTCATGTGTAACCACGTCAACCTTTATATATTCCTAGCAAACTCTTCCTCAGTAAAACAGGGATTTTTAGTTCACATATATTGCAAACATGTTCAAACAGGCCAGCTGCGTCAACGCAATCCCGCTCTGGCCATTTCCTACTCTACTTTAAAGATTGCCAACCTCTTGCTGAATGGCACGATATCAATAAATGGATATATAGTGTCAATATGGAGCAACCAGGCACAGATGGAGGTGAGCTACAGACCTTTTCCCATTGTGGATATGCAGCTTTGTGTCTTGGTCTGTAGCTGGTTACGTGCAGAACTATCTTTACCTGTTGGTGCTGACCACGGTCTTTTTATATATATATATATATATATATATATATATATATATATATATATATATATATATATATATATATATATATATAATGTGTATTGCGGATCTTGGTCTGTAGCTCACCACCAGCTGTGTCTTTTTATCCCATTCTGGCACTATATGTCTGCAAGGTAGAGGCTGGAGAGGGATCACTTTGACTCAGCTGGCCAGCTTGAACATGTATTTTTTTTTTTTTTGTTTTTTTAGTATGCGTTTGCTATGAATATATAAGAGTTAACATGTGGTTGCACCCCTTTAGTATTTCATGTGTTGTATATATGGAAGTAATTTATGACCTTAGCACAGACATGTCTCATTTTCTACTGCAGAGTACAGGTCAGTGATGTCTGGAGTTGCTGGATTATTCTTTAATAGGAGTAATAAATTACATAGTCTGACAGAAAAAAAGACAAAAGTCCATCCAGTTTAACCATAAAAAAAAAAAAGTTATAATCCTACACCCAGAGTTGATCCAGAGGAAGGCAAAAAAAAACAGCAAAGCATGATGCAAATTTGCTCCTGCAGGGGAAAAAAATTCCTTCCTGATTGCCCGGAGAGGCAATTGGATATTCCCTGGATCAACTTTACCTATAATTGATAGTATCCAGTTATATTCTGTGTATCCCTGAAAGAATCCAGGCCTTTTTTAAAGCAATCCACTGAGCTGGCCAGAACCAACTCTTGAGGGAGTTTATTCCACATTTTCACAGATCTTACTGTGAAGAAACCTTTCCATGTTTGGAGATTACATTTAATTTCCTCCAGAAGTAGAGTGCCCCCTTGTCCTCTGTGATGACCTCAGGGTGAATAACTCTACACCGAGTTCACTATATGAACCCCTGATGTATTAATGATCATATTACCCCTTAATCTCAAATTCTCAAGACAGAATACTTTCAGTTCCTCTAATCTTTCCTCATAGCTGAGCTCCTCCATGCCTCTTATCAGTTTGGTTGTCCTTCTCTGTACTTTCTCCAGTTCCCCAATTTTCTTTTTGTGAATTGGTGTCCAAAATTAAACTGCATATTCCAGATGAGGTATTACTAATGATCTGTACAGGGGTAATATGATATCTTCTCTCTGGAGTCTATACCGCTTTTAATACAAGAGAGGATTTTGCTCGCTTTAGAAACTGCAGCTTGGCATTGCATGCCATTATTAAGCTTGTGATCTACCAGAACCCCCAGATCCTTCTCCACCATTGATTCCCCCAGTTGTACTCCCCCTAGTATGTATGATGCATGCATATTCTTAGCCTCCAAGTGCATAACCTTACATTTATCAACATTAAACCTCATTTACCACATAGTTGCCCAATTAAACAATGCATTGAGGTCAGCTTGTAAATTGGAGACATCCTGTATGGACGTTATTCCACTGCACAGCTTGGTGCCATCTGCAAAGACTGAAATGGTATTTTTAATCTCAGACCCTATATTGTTTATAAATATAATAAATTAATAATATATAATTAATATACAGAGAAAAATAATGAGTTGACCCCCTGCAGATTTTGTACGTTTGCCCACTTACAAAATAACTGAAGAGTCTATAATTTGTATCATAGGTGTATTTTAAATTATACAGAATATCAGCCAAAAATCCAGAAAAAAAAAAAAACACGATGCAAATGTTATAAATTGAGATGCAGTTCAGTGAGTAAAATAAGTATTTGATCCCCTACCAACCAACAATAATTCTGGCTCCCATAGACTGGCTAAGTGCTCATGTGGTACACAGATTGGTCCTGTCAATTTAAGAAGGTGCTCCTAACGACAACTCGTGTATAAAAGACAAACCTGTCCAAAGAATTTCTTTCTTCCATTCAAACCTCGCCATCATAGGCAAAGAGCTGTCAAAGGACATCAAGGACAAGATTGTAGACCTGAGAAACTTGGTGAGAAGGAGACAACTGTTGAAGTGATTATTCACAAATGGAAGAAATACAAAATAACCATCAATCGCCTTTGGTCTGGAGCTCCATGCAACATTTCGCCTCATAGGGTAAGGATGATCATGAGAAAAGTGAGGGATCAGCCCAGAACTACACAGGAGGAGCTCGTGAATGATCTCAAGGCAGTTGGGACCACAGTCACCAAACAAACCACAAGTAACACAATACGCCACCATGGATTGAAATCCTGCAGTGCCTGCAAAGTTCCCCTCCTCAAGAAGGTACAAGCCTGTCTGAAGTTTGCCACTGAACATCTAAATTATTCAGAGAAGGATTGGGAGAAAGTGCTGTGGTCAGATGAGACCAAAATTGAGCTCTTTGGCATTAACTTGACTCAGCATGTTTGGAGGAAGAAAAATGCTGACTATGACCCTAAGAACACCATCCCTGCAGTCAAGCATGAAGGTGGAAACATTATGCTTTGGGGTTGTTTATCTGCTAAAAGTAGAGGCAGACTTTGACCGCATTGAGGGGCCAATGGATGGGGCCATGTATTGTAAAATCTTGGATGAGAACCTTTCCTCAGCTAGAACACAATAGATAGGTCATGGATGGATATTCCAGCATGACAATGGCCAGAAAAATACAGCCAAGGCAACAGGAATGGCTCAAGAAGAAGCACATTAGGGTCATGGAGTGGCCTAGCCAGTCTCCAGACCTTAATCCTATAGAAAATTTATGGAAGGAAATGAAACTTCTAGTTACCAAGCGACAGCCAAGAAACCTTAAGGATTTAGAGAAGATCTGTAAAGAAGAGTGGACCAAAATCCTGGTAACCAACTATAAGAGATGCCTAACCGCTGTGCTGGCCAGCAAGGGTTTCTCTACCAAGTACCAAGTCATGTTTTGCTTGGGGATTAAATACTTATTTTACTCAATGAACTGCAACTCAATTTATAACACTTGTATCATGTGTTTTTTCTGCATTTTTGGCTATTTTGTCTCTATCTTAAAATACACGTATGATAAAAGTTATAGACCTTTCATTTCTTTGTAAATGGGCAAATAATTATTTTCCCCACTGTATATGCCTATGCTTTTTAAGTATGCTATAAGTAAGAATCTAGCAGTCTGCAAAGAATGGTAGGGGCCACCAAAGAAGGATCATTTTGATGCAGTTGGCCAGCCTGAACATGTATTGCAATATAAGCGCAATAAGAATCAGTTTTCAAGCAAACGTTTTCTACTAATGTGCACATTGTAGTGTGTAAAGGGTTAATTTTGAATATACAGTGTTAACATGCTGTTACATCCCTTTAGCATCTCGTGTTGTATATAAGCAAGCCATTTAAGATTTGAGCACAGACACATCTACATTTCTACTGCGTTTTAGGGAACACACCTAGTG